TGGGGGGAGGGGGGGGTAGATTGATGAAACCATTAATGGATGAGGATTCTTCACTCCCAGATAGGGAATGCTAGGGGGGAGGGGGCTTATATACAAAGATTTAAAAGGAACAGAGAGAGGGAGGGATTTGTAAGAAGGAAATCCGTACAAAGACTTTGTTTTTTTGGTGATTTGAATTATATGGGGCTGTTTTCTATATAAAGTTAAAATAAGTTAATGCCTCCAATACAAATTTCTGTTAACGCTTCTTTTTAACATAAGTGAAAAAGAATTTACAGTTAAAAATTAAACTTTCTATTAGATTTATTTGTTTGGTTGAAAAAATGTGTATTAGTTTATTTCAACAAAGCTTGAGCATATAATGATACTGTTTTGGCAATCTTCTTTTAAAAGTGTCATCTACCTTGGAGCTTGAGATTGCTTAAACAATTTGTGGCAGGATAGTTTATCATGCTCAGTAGTCAGAATATTTATTACTAGTATGCCATACTATACCAGTATCTTCATTCTTCATTTATCTATATGGAAATAAATAGATAGTAAACACCATAGACTCTGAAATATAACATTATAGACCCACAACCCTTTCTAGCATAAGACAACATTGTCCTCCACTCCTTCCTTACATTGAACAACATTGAACTCCACTACTTCCTTACATTGAACAACATTGACCTCCACTCCTTCCTTACATTGAACAACATTGACCTCCACTCCTTCCTTACATTGAACAACATTGAACTCCACTCCTTCCATACATTGAACAACGTTAAACTCCACCCCTTTCCTACATAGGACAGTATTGAACTTTAAACCTTCCTTACATAGGACAACATTAACTTACCTAGGAGAACATTGAACTCCAATCCTTACTTACATAGGCAACATTCAACTCCACTCCTTTCTGACATAGGACAACATTGAACTCCACTCCTTCCTTACCTAGGGCAACATTGAACTCCACTCCTTCCTTACATTGAACAACATTGAACTCCGAACCTTTCTGACATAGGACAACATTGAACTTCACCCCTTTCTTACATAGGACAGCATTGAACTCCAAACCTTCCTTACATAGGCAACATTGAACTCCAATCCTTCCTTACATAGGCACATTGAACTTCACCCCTTTCTGACCAAGGACAACATTGAACTCCACTCCTTCCTTACATTGAACAACATTGAACTCCAAACCTTCCTTACATTGAACAACATTGAACTGCAGGGGAATCTTTAGGACCCCCTTGAGATGTGAGTGGGGATATTAAGAGCCCCTGGGCGGGGCGTTGTGTTGGGGGAGGGGGAAATTAATGTCTCTGAATCTAGTGGTTTAGGGTGGATCCAATCTAAGAGTTGGCATGCTGTAGATCCATTTGTCAGGACAATGCTACAACCTTCAACACAATTTAATTAAAAAATAATTTTCATTCGTATTTTTTTCATTGGCTGTCTTAAATTCTTAGTTTTACCAGAAATCAGAATAAATAAAAGAATGATCGACATTTTAAGGGTTTTTTTACAGAATAATTGTTACTTTTATAAATAAATATTAGTTTCATTATGAACAAATATTAATTAATAATGAATTAAAACTGAAACGATTTTTACATAATTTTGAAAAGAACGGAGAAATAATTTAAATTTAATTTGTGTAAATTAACTTCCTAGAAGCAGGATAGAGAAAATCTGCTAATTAGATAATGTACTAAAGGGTGTGTTCACGAATTTTACAAAAAGGGTGGAGAAAATATTGTCTAAAGTTACAGAGCTACCCACAAAGAATGAGATTGTCAAAACGATCTGAACATCTTAAAAACATGACAGTTACAAGGCTGAATTAAGTCTTCTACCTTGGACAGTCTTTTCATGTTTATTAAATGATTTTGAAAAAAAAGAAACAATTTTATAATTACATTACAAGGAAACACAGTAAAAATTCCTTACAGTCGTCTGAAGTCTTATCCTTTATTGGTAATAACATGCACAAAAAGAATATTTGATGAGACTGGATTTTTTTCGACATTTATATTTGTGGTATTTAGAGTAAATTAAAAAATTATTATCAAGTTTTCATTCGAATTGTCTTGCAACCCTGTTTCAAAATTTTGGAACAGTCCCTTTAAATTATCTGATAAATTCTTGTCTTTAGAAATTTAAGGTTAAGCTCTGTCATTAATCTTTCGTCTTTTATTAGATTAATAAAGATTAACGACCCCAGGAGCACAGCGTTTATTTATCTATATCAATAAATTATACAAATATAAAACACCATTTTCGACCTTTTTCATATATAAAATAAGATAATTTTACCTCTTTCAATTTTAAATAAGATAATTTGACTTCTTTCAACGTTAAATAAGATGATTTTACCTCTTTCAACATAAATAAGATAATTTTACCTCTTTCAACATTAAAAAACAATTTGACTATATTCCTAGAGTATAATTTAATTGGACTGCTCTCTTTTCACACACAGTCACAACTTTACGAAAATAGGGATTGAATAAAACATCATTAATTCTATTCGGGAATAAAAATACTCAACAAAGTGGAAGAAGAAATAACTAAAAATAAATAAATAAAAAATCAGTAGGAATTAAAACCAAGTAAAACCAAGTTGATTACACGATTAAAATTTAAGATTTTTCATTTAACACTTTTTTCTTTAAAATAGTAAATTCCAAAAATCCACAACAAACAAATTTTTAAAGGGAAGGTTTTAAAAATTTTCTCATAAAACACTTTTTTGGTACACTTTCTTAATAAATTATTTACTTCCAGGGTCGAGTGGCGTACGATATTTTCCAGGGGGGTGGGGTGGGGGGGGGAGAATAGTTGAAATTTGGTGTCCCCTGTAATAATCTTCTTTGGAAGAAAAAATTATTTATGAGCTAAATTCAAAGGGAATCTATATTCTTGAATTTTAAGTTGAACTGACTATAGCTCAGGTTCCTGGTTCCTCCTCTCTCATCATTGCGCCCCAGCTTCCCCAGCTTCACACAATTTAATGTTACAGTTTTTTTCATTGAACACTTTTATTCACAGTTTTTAAATTTCAATGAGAAACAACTGTAATAATTTTTTTTATTATTTTTTTTATTTAAAAAAAAATTACTCTATAGATTTTGTGATTTGCATTTTTTTATAACATTTTTTCTAGATGTTTAAGTTTTAAGTAACATTCACAAAAAATGTTAAGCAGTATTAAATTTATAGATAACTAGCGAAGTTTACAATTATTTAGTTTTTAAAGTGTTTTTATAATATATTTACAGTGCACTGTGTACACTTTACACTTGGCATTTTATCAAATAATTCTGATTGAATAATATTTAGTAAGAAATCCCTAGTTTCAGCTGATGCTAGGATTCAGGTTCCAGAAATTGAAAATATAAAAGTTAAATTCTGTTTGATTTATTACCCGGCATCTTTTCACCAGGTTTTCAGAAAACTCAGAAAATATGTTCTGTAATACAAAATTCATTTTCTGACAACAAATATTAGAGAATACAAAGAGCTCCATATCTCATAAACCAAGGAAGACGACATTTCCCGGGACATTTAATTTTTAAGGTTACATTGTCACATTTAAAAACTAAGGCTGTATCCCATTATAAAGAACTATAATTTCAGTTCCTTTTGTTAAATAATCTCATTCATAATAATAAATGCTTACTTATGTGCTCTGTGAAATTTAATGTACTATATACACTTTACAAGAACCACTGCTTCATAGATTTAAAAATTCATATATTAGGATGTAGAATTGAAAAGGATTGAACAAAATTGGAAATAAAAGTAAGAGGATTATAAAATTAGGAAAAATATAAATATAAATATTTTATTTTTAAGAATAAAAGCAGAAATCTATCTCTCTCGTGTATTATTTTGACATTAAGCATGAAGTTAATATGATTGAATGTAGCTATAGAATACACTTTTCTTTTTACACAATAATATTTATGATCAAGATTTTGAATTGTACAGAAAATATGAAAAAAAAACAGCCCGGGGACTAGATCTAAAAAAATAGTCAAATACAGTTGAACCACGTGGTTCAACCCCTTCTTTTCAGCTTGAACCGCGCTGTACACAAGAGAAGTGGTTAAACTGATTAAGTCGGCGAGGTTCAGTTACTTCTAGCTATTCATTAAATCTAGTTCATGAACCTGCCTAACCAGATCAGGTTGGATGTAATTGTGAAAATAAATATTTATAACTAAATGTTTAACAAGTTGATATTGGTTCAGTTATTTAGACTGTAGAGAGTATATATTATATTCGAACCATTAACTACGGATATTAGTCCTATTCACCCACTGGGTTTGAGATTATACGTATTCAGCCAGAGAGAAATCAAATCAATGATGATATATTATAATAGAACCGTAGTTGTAATTTTTAGGTACCCTTCCTTAAAAAAAGGGGGGGCATGCCTGATTCCCAACGGCAAGCCAATTTTATAGAAAATCCGCAAATGAAATTAAGGGTCTCTTTAAATTGCGATTACAGTCTGCTTAAAGGACAGAAATTGTTATCACCTGAACTCAACTATCATTCAACCCTTGAAATGAAATATATTCAAAATAAAGCCTTGTTTTACAGGATAAACGTTCTCCTCGGCTTCTACAATCCAAAAAATGATGAAATTATTTCAAGCCAGACAATTTTTTTAAAATGATGTCAAAGAAAAAATCATGTAAAAAACATATGTTTGTATGCCTGAATTATTAAAGCAATAAGGTAAAGTTGCACCGTACTCTGTGAACCCGTATCACCTAAAGTTTTGAGTTTAGCCACAAGCATGTCATATTAGAAATTTAAAACATTTTTTTTTCTTTTCAACAGCTCTTCAATTACAGAAGTTTATATTGAAAACAAATAAGATTTCAATTTTACGTTCAATTTACTTTACTTTGAATTGACATTAATGTCTCATGTGATTATATGTTGTCTATTTTATCACAGATATTGAAGATACATTTGAAATATTAAGATTTCAGATACAAATGGAAGTACATGCGCACTGTGAGACATGTCTCAGTATGCACTGTAATGAAGAGACACTCTGTAAGGTATACACTGTCAAAAATAGTGTACATTATATTTAAGAGCCAAACCTATTTAAAAAAAAACTATGTTCATCAAATTTATTTCTCCAACACACACTGTAGACAACAATGCAAATCTATATGAAATTAAGGATTAAAATATAGTCAGAATTTTTTACAATGATTTCAAATATCAAAGCAAAAATGTTTGTGTAACTTTTTATGGGCCTTAATTATAGAGTGTTTTAGCAACGCTTTACAACAATACCCGGCCCTAGTCTATTATCTGCGAAATTGTGGCTTCGAAATTTTCACAAAGGTTTTTAAGTGTTTCTTGAAAAAAAACATTTTATTTTTCAGATAAAAAAATAGATTATAAATGTAAATAATTTTAAGTATTTAACTTGTCATATTTAGAGTTGTTTGCACACTTAGACTAACAGTCCCTTTATATTTCTCCATTATTAAGGCAAGAGAGATATAAAGAATCTATTTCCCCCCCGCCCCCCAACGGCTAACACCCCATCCCTTCCCTCATTTTTTGACTGGGCTTGGGCTAGCTGGAACCACCTCCCCTTGGCGTCTGAGAAGACTGCTACGTTTGCAATTTAATTAATATTCCGCCGTAGAGGTCACTGAGTCTGGAAAAAGCTAAGAGAAAACAGGATTCTGCTTACTTTCTTTTACAGACTACATGTAAAAACATCACACTATAGAGCCTCTTGTGAGAATTGTTTTTAAAATCCACTTGTATACCAATACTCTATCTTTATTAACTCTATTATTGAAACTTGTTCTATTAAAGGTTGTGGTCTGTTTAAACAACTGTGGGATGAGATTACATTCCTGTAAAATGACAGATCATATTCAGGTAATGGACAATATGAAGTCTATCACAAGAACTTCTGTTTTACAAATGCTTTATTTTGGAAATTATAGAAACTGAGTCTTTACCTCCAATTTTCGAAACCCTATATCTTTGCCAACTCAATGTCGAAAATTTTTGAAACCCTATAGACCTAAAATATTTTAAACCATGAATAATTTTAGATGAAATAATAAGTTTAAAATATCAAAGGTTTAAACCATCAGCCTGCAAATCAGAATTAGAAAAATTGAGTTTGTAGATCAGACTCAATTTCCCGCATTTTCAGGAAATCTGCAATGATGCGAGGGTTCCGTGTTTAAATAACCAGTATGGCTGTAAATACAAGCTTAGGTATCATCTTAATCTTTTACAATAATTTGATTTTTATTAATGTACATGCAATGAAAAAAATTCTGCACAATTACCAACACGTGTAAATTATCAAATATCTATTATCAGTCTCTATTGTTCGAGTTTTCAAAAGCAAATATTCTGCGTAGCTTCCTTTTTCACTTTATCATCGTCAACAATATTACTATATAACAAAATTTCGTATAGGATAATATCATCGATATTTTTTAAATGTGCATTTTGTATTTATTGTCTAGAAGGTTTGAGCTGAAAGAACATTTACAACGATGTCCTGCAAGTACTGTAGAGTGTGGTTTCGTTTGGAACAGGTTTATCATCCCACTAAACATGATAATTAGGATCCAACTTCATGAGATCGTCTTTTATCTTAGATTTTTTTTAAGTGACAATAACAAAACTAGTTCGTATTTGTGCTTTATTTTATGTAATAGTTATTTGTTAATTTCCAAAACAAAATGTGTGCATAACACTTTGGAGCCAGCCAGCTAATCAAATAAACCAGAAATGGTTAGGCTGTTGCCTTGGCTGTAAAAGGTATTTTTTATGATTTTAGCCGAAAAATATCTATCTATCTAAGACTTATCAGCTTTATAAAATATTTCTATGTATCTTTAAAAAATACAAATATGTTAATTTTTAAACACTTTTAATCTTCCGATTAGCACAAAAAAGAACATATTATGGAAGTACCATAAATCATAATTGTAAAATAAGGTTCACGATGAAACTTCAAAATGTTTAAGAACATATATGCCTGTCTCTACTTATAAATTAGTTGTCATGTTTAGTAGAGCACCCCCTGCCATTGAAGTAAAGATGCGAGGTTCTAATTATTTTAAAAATGCTTCAATCGTATTTTGTAAACTTCGCCAGCTAGGTTGAAATGGCAAAGATTGGTTGTTTCCCACTTTCTTTAGTATATTTGTTGTCATAAAGAGAATAGATGAATTTTAGAACATGATATTCTCAAGTAGCAACATTCTATAGATCTCAGATGATACAAATCATAAATAAATAAAAAAAATGATTTAACCATTTAAGATAATTACTTTAGGCTTTTTTATTTTTACGGCAATCAAGATTTTTGGTGATAATTCTATAAATCAACTACGCGTGCACTAATTAAGAATTAAATTCTAGGTTACCATTATACCTGGCAAGGTTTACAGAACTTCAAGGCTGTGCTGAGGGTCAACTTGATTACGAGATTGCTCTGAGAGATCAGAGAGCAGAGCAAACTCTTGCTCTAGTACCTCGCAGAGCTAAGGTAATTGTAAATTCTGTTTTAACGTCGGGAAAGAATTGATTAGAATTATGCAAGTGAGTAAAAAAAGCTTGAAAAGGATAATTTTGCCGTGTAATATCTTGAAATCTAAATTTAAAATGACGTAGTTCTGTTTGTCTGTCTGTTTGTTTATTGTATATTCGATCCTAACTCTAGAACTCCTTGACCAATTTTCATAAAACTTTGATTGGCGAACTCAGTAGAAAAACGAAAATATTTTAGCTTGGTTTAAAAACTATAAATTGAGTGGGTTGATTTTGATTTCCAGGATTTCTGATAGTTTTATTGTGTAGGTTCAGCTCCGGAACTTCTTGACAAAAAGGTTCCCGGTAGTTCCAGTTCCAAGGAGTTCCAGAAGAACAGGTTACAAGGGAGATAAATCTGTTCCTGATAAGGTAAAATATTGTAGATATTTTCTAGATCATTTAGTTCATGCCCGATTTATTACAGTTACTAGATGAACAATACATGATCAGTTCATGAACAATACTTGATCAAATCATGAACAATACATGATCAATTAATGAACAATACATGCTCAGTTCATGAACAATACATGATCAAATCATGAACAATACATGATCAATTAATGAACAATACATGCTCAGTTCATGAACAATACATGATTAATTTATTTCATGAACAATACATGATCAATTAATGAACAATACATGATCAAATTATGAACAATACATGCTCAGTTCATGAACAATACATGATCAGTTCATGAACAATACATTATCAAATCATGAACAATACATGATCAATTAATGAACAAAAAAATGATCAAATCATGGACAATACATGCTCAGCTCATGAACAATACTTGATCAGTTAATGAACAGTACAAGGAGATATTAAATAGAAGGAGGGGGCGATAGGGTTCCCGTAAACTTTTCTGTGACGTTTTTGGACAGCTGAAGAACTAGTTTTTGCGTAACAACAATAATAAAGATTGTAAACAATAACACAAATAAAAAACCTTGAATTTGATTGAAAATGTCTCTGTAATAAGGTTCTTTTTCGAATAAAACTAAAATCCTTAACTTTTTCAATCTTTTTTAACAAGATTTAATACTAGTTTCACAGTTTACTAACTCATGTTTGTTTACATTAGATCGGCTGCCTTTGTTATTGTTGTTACTTAAAAACTAGTTCTTCAGCAGTCCAAAAGCGTCACAGCAAAGTGTACGGAAACCCTATCTCCCCCTCCTTCTATTCAATATCTCCTTGGGACAGTACATAATCAATTCATGAACAATGCATGATCAATTTATGACAAATACATGATCAGTCAATGGACAATACATAGTCAATTCATGAACAATACATGATCAATTTATGAATAATACATGATCAATTTATGAACAATGCATGATTGATTCATGAAGGATCAATTCATAAACAAAGCATGGCTAATTCTTGAACAATGCAGAATATTTTTACTAACAATACATAAACTATGCTTAATCAATTCTTGAACAATGTATAATTAATTCCTGAATATTGCAAATCATTTCCTAAATAAAGCATAATCAATTCATGAATAATGCATAATTAATTCATGAATAATACATAATAATCAATTCATGAACAAAGCATCATCAATTCATGAACAATGTATAATAATCAATTTATAAATAATTCATGAATAATGCATAATTAATTCATGAACAATGTATGATTAATTCATAAAGGATAAGTACATAAACATACATGATTATTTTATGAAAAACGTTTTATTAAATTATGAACATTGATCAATTCATGAACTATGCATGATAAAACAATAAATTATGCAAATCAATTCATGAACTTAATGTGTGATTAATTCATGAACAGTGTATGATTAATTCATAAACAATGAACAATAATTCATGAACAATGTATGATTAACTCATGAACGATACAATAATTCATGAACAATGTACAATAATTCATGAACAATGTACAATAATTCATGAACAATGTATGATTAATTCATGAACAATGTACAATAATTCATGAACAATGTATGATTGATTCATCAACAATGTACAATAATTCATGAATAATGTGTGATTAATTCATGAACATTGTATGATTAATTCATGAACAATGTACAATAATTCATGAACAGTGTACAATCATTCATGAACAATGTACAATAATTCATGAACAATGTATGATTAATTCATTAATAATGTACAATAATTCATGAAAAATGTACAATAATTCATGAACAGTGTACAATCATTCATGAACAATGTACAATAATTCATGAACAATGTATGATTAATTCATTAATAATGTACAATAATTCATGAAAAATGTACAATAATTCATGAACAATGTACAATAATTCATGAACAATGTATGATTAGTTCATGAACAATGTACAATAATTCATGAATAATGTGTGATTAATTCATGAACATTGTATGATTAATTCATGAACAATGTACAATAATTCATGAACAATGTACAATCATTCATGAACAATGTACAATAATTCATGAACAATGTATGATTAATTCATTAATAATGTACAATAATTTATGAAAAATGTACAATAATTCATGAACAATGTGTGATTAATCCGTTAAAAGTTAAATTACTAAACTCACTATGTACTTTAGGTATACGCAAGTAGGTACAATTGTTAAAAGTATTTTATCTCGTTTCTTTTTCTATTTCAGTAACAAACGTATGTTTACACATGGATATATTCAATCAGAAAGTTAAAAAGTATCCTTTACATTATAAAATTATTCAAGGTGTATATAGTGGACGCAGAGGGAGAACTTGGCGCAGACTTTAAATCATACAGGTAATTCATGTATACTTCATACTCTGTGGACATATACTGGTAATTCATATATACTTTGCACTCTGTGGACACATGCAGGTAGTTCATGTACATTTTATACTCTGTGAACATATACTGGTAATTCATGTATACTTCATACTCTGTGGACATATACTGGTAATTCCTGTATACTTTATACTCTGTGGACATATGCAGGTAATTCATGTACACTTTATACTCTGTGGACATATACTGGTAATTCAGGTATACTCCATACTCTGTGTACATATACTGGTAATTCCTGTATACTTTATACTCTTTGGAAACATGCAGGTAATTCATGTATACTTAATACTTCGTGGAGACATACAGGTAAATCATGTATACTTGACACTCTATGGACATATACTGGTAATTCATGTATACCTTACGTAATGCATGTATACTATGAATAATACAATGCATTCTAGAGTTATTAATATTATGATACAAATACAGTATTAATTTATACATACATTTCTACATAGGCTCAAAACTATATTAACTATATTTAAATTAAAGGAATCTTTTTTTTAGTAAAATTTACAATCCAGTGTTGCTCTATATTATATACATATACTCTATTAGTATTATTATTTTATACAAATATAACTAATATTCAAATTATATCCTGTTTTGCATATATTTTTCTGTGTGATATTTTATGTTGAATTATCTGGAACTAACCATATGACAATTATTATAAATTGATAATGTTTAAAGCTTTACTGCTTAAACTTGTCATAAACTTTGATTTTCTAATCCCTAAATCTTTTCAATCCGATGTCGTAGACCTAGATATTTCAAACTATGAATTCTGTTAGATCTATATGTTTGAAATATCAAAGGTATACGCTATATCGGGTCTCAACCCTGGGGATTAGAAAATTTAAATTTATGGCAAGAACTTAGTTTCCTTGATTTACAGTTTTCCAAGAACATTGACGCAGTTAATTCGGGAGACAATTATCTGGAGAAAAGTCTGCCAAGTTAAAGAACCAGGTTGCAGAAGTTAATCATCCATTTTATTAAAGTTTAAAGTTGAGATTCATGCAGGCTAGCTCATCAAGAAAACTCGGAGATAGTTTTAATAGAATCTTAGAGCAGCACCAACTAGGGAAACCCGGAGATAGTTTTAATAAAATGCTAGAGCAGCACCAACCAGGGAAACCCGGAGATAGGTTTAATAGAATTCTAGAGCAGCTCCAACCAGGGAAACCCGGAGATAGGTTTAATAGAATGCTAGAGCAGCTCCAACCAGGGAAACCCGGAGATAGGTTTAATAGAATTCTAGAGCAGCACCAACTACGGAAACCCGGAGATAGTTTTAATAGAATGCTAGAGCAGCTCCAACCATGGGAACCCAGAAATAGTTTTAATTGAATGCTAGAGCAGCTCTAACCAGGGAAAACCGGAGATAGGTTTAATAGAATTCTAGAGAAGCTTCAACCAGGGATTCCCGGAGATAGGTTTATTAGAATTCTAGAGCAACCAACCAGGGAAACCCAGAGATAGGTTTAATAGAATACTAGAGCAGCTCCAACCAGGGAATCCCGGAGATAAATTTACCCAGAGCAACACAAACCAGGGAAACCCGGAGATAGGTTTAATAGAATCCTTGAGCAATACCAACCAGGGAAACCCGGAGATAGGGTTAAAAGAATTCTAGAGCAACATCAACCAGGGAAACCCGTAGATAGGTTTAAGAGAATCCTAGAGCAGCTCCAAACAGGGAAAACGGAGATAGGTTTAATGGAATCATAGAGCAGCACCAAGCAGAGAAACTAGAACCATAGTGCAGAAACCAAGAAAATTCCACTATTTAGAAAGAAATTCTACTATTTAGAAAGCAGCTCTACTATTTAAAAATATCTCCATTAATAAGACTGAAGCTGTACAATTAAGAAAGCTGATTTACTAAAAGAGACTATTCTTTGAAAGTAGCTCCACTTTTTAGAAAGTAGCTCCACTTTTTCATAAAACAGCTCCACTATTAAGAAATAATCTCCACTGCTTAGAAAGCAGCTCAACTGTTTAGAAAGCAGCTTCAATTTCTATAGAGCGGCTTCATATATTTATAAAGCAGCTCCACTATTTAGAAAGCAGCACGCCCATCAAGAAGAGGCTTGGAGGGAAGATTTGAAAGAACGAGTGGGAAAAACATCAATTCCAAGGTAAAACAAGTTTTTATTATGATTTAGTACAAACAATTTAGTATAACTAGATTTTAAAATAGAAAAATGAAATAAAAATTAGAAATAAACACTTGAAATATAAATCACATGTTTGTTTTTTATTTTTTTAAAGGTACTGGGAAGTGCCTGAGACAAGAAAAGGAGGTGTACATAACCATTGCAGTACATGCATCCTTAGCAACTGTACTCTCGGTAATATAAGAACTGTACATAACCATTGCAGTACATGCATCCTTAGCAACTGTACTCTCGGTAATATAAGAAATGTACATAACCATTGTAGTACATGTATCATCTGCAACCGTACTCTCGGTAATATAAGAACTGTACATAACCATTGTAGTACATGCATCCTTAGCAATTGTACTCTCGGTAATATAAGAACTGTACATAACCATTGTAGTACATGCATCCTTAGCAATTGTACTCTCGGTAATAAAAGAACTGTACATAAGCATTGTAGTACATGCATCCTTAGCAACTGTACTCTCGGCAATATAAGAACTGTACTTAACCATTGCGTTACATGCTTCCTACGCAATCGTACTCTCGGTAATATAAGAACTGTACTAAAGCATTGAAGTACATGTATCCTTCGCATATGTACTCCCGCTAATGTAAGAACTGTAAAAAAACATTGCAGTACATGCATCCTACGCACCTGTACACTCGGTCAAATATATATGTATACTACATAACTATTGCTGTACATGTATCCTTTTCAGTTTTTGATTATTTGCCCAGCCTTCGTTTATTCAGATTCAATTATATATTTGAAACTAAAAAGCAGAAAATGTTAATTCAATTTTTTGATAATTAGTTATTTACCTGAATTATTGGTCAATAAACAATTCTAATCCTAATAACTTGGCGTTTACATATATAAAGTCTTATATTGGTTTAAAAATTCTTAGTTGAGTGGGTTGACTTAGAAAGAGAAATTTTGGTTTTTAATAAAACTGGATTTCTAAACTAGTTATATCCTATAAAAATCATTGTTCTCTCTATTTATAATCTGTTAAAGGTCGGCACTTTGATCCGTCTCTCTGGAGAGAGTCCTGTCCCCAGGTAAAACTATATTTAAAGCTTTGCAATTTATCGTTTTATCTTTGTTTTTCTATTTAAAAATGGACAATGTTTAACCACGGGTTTTCAAGAAGTGACTCTTAGAATGTAAATTTCCATATTTAACCAAGCAACAACACATTTGAGATTTCAACGACTTTGTTTCGCAGCAAAATTTGTAAATGACGACCGTTAAAAACGTCTCTCAATTGTCATGTTCATTGAGACACCTTACATTTTATATATATTTTTTTAACAGGTAGACTGCAGATGGAGGTGTGGAGCTAGATACCATTCATGCAAGGAAACTTTAATCATATAGTAATCTAATTGATCAGGGGGGGATTTCTATAAAATTTAAATTTAAAAATTGCTAGAAAACGATTTAAAAAAAATATTTTTTGAAATAATTTATATGATTATTTTCACAAATAGACAGGGGAGCATAGACTTCTCTGTAAGGTAGATATTTACATAAACATTACCCCCCCCCCCCCCGTTGATATTGATAATCTTATGAGGAGTGTGATGACCGGTAACAATATTTTGAAAGAATATCAAAAAGAAGTGAAACTAACAAGATTTTCGTTGATTCCCTAGGATTTGAAATTCATAAAAATAAATTAATTTCTGATAAAGATTTCAATATAATTAATAAAGTTGGATATTGAAAGCTAAACTATAATCTTCCGATCTTTAAATTTGTTTGTTTAAAACGATAAATTAAAATATTGGTTCCCAAAATATAAAATATCATTTGCCTGACGACGTCGACTTGACAGTCCAGTAAACAGAACATTTGTAATATTATCAAATTTTTGTGTAATCTTAATTCCAAAACTTATTTTTTTATGTAGAATTATGTTGTCTTTTCTTTTTATTAAATAGCTAAGAATTTGAACTGGGACGGATTTAATGAATTGCCTACCGCCGGTTCAACTATCTCTCAAGTGATCACTCGGTCAAATTGAAAGATATGCAGTTCATTAAATCCGTTACCTGGCTATTTTTTAAATGTGCCACTGGACCGGATTTTATGAGTTGAGAAAAGTGGTTAAACTACTACTACTAGTTTTGATAAAACAAAAGAATTCCGTTAAGCCACTAGTTTAGATACGGATTTCTAATTGGAGTATAATATTTGAATAGACAGATAGATAGATAGATCGTGCCGGTTCAAATCCTGAATCATCGATTCAAATTGAAGATTCGTGTGGATATTTGTAGGTAGTGAATTGGCGAGTGAATCGATGATTTAGGATTTGAACCGGCGGTAGGTAGTTCAGTGACCTCTCCCATTTATTAAATTCGACCCCTAAAAATGTTCAAACATATGAATGATTATGAACTAAAAACTAAATTAAAGACGTTTGCTAAATTTTGACCATTTTTTAAAAGGAAATTGTGTAGGGGTATATTGAAGAGGATGAATTTGATTGGATAAAACGTCTGGAAGAAACACAGCCAATAGAAGAAGGATCTCAGGACACTGTATCATCTTTAAAAGGTTCAAAAAATGATAAGTAAAACCATACAGTGTAGAATTAAATGTATGCGAATTTAAAAGGAGTGAACACTGACCGGCAATGTATGGTAGTAAAGGTTATAACTATAGAGAATAGAATATATATTAGAAGGGAAGTTAGAGAATTTCTCGGTTTGAATTTTTTCAGTCCCTTTCAGCCTGGAAGGGAGTTCAAAGTGTACAAATCATGTAAATGTTCACAAATTATGTGCAGTAGAGTACAATAATACAATATTTTCCCTAAACTATCCATTTCAACTTTGAATTTTTTAAACGTTAAATAAACTTTAAAAAGAATTAGGTGAATTAAAAACATCATTTGATTTATAGTTATAACGAAAAATCATCGTTTGTAAAGTGAAAGGCATAGAGTCTATGTGAAATGATCATTGGTCAATCAACCAGCCTATTTCATAATTTGGTTTTCTTTTAATATTAATTTTAGATTTTCTATAAAATGATGTTCCAGGGCCCAAAAGGTTATATAGCGCAAATATGTGAAGTACGCCTGCAGTAGGGAAACAGTACAACAAAATGGCCGTTTTACACTTTTTTCCAGTAAATTTCACCCTAATATATATTCTATTCTCTTTGGTTATAACTGAGAATGTATATATTATGGAGAATTTTTTTAGGAATCATTTGAGACCTATGAGACGTTTTTGCGGTGCATATTTGTTCAGCAAGAGCACAAATTCAATCTTTAAATCCTCATAGATTGTTCACTTTTAATGATTTGAGAATCGGTTAAAAAAATTATTGAATAACGACGACGAGAAATGTTGTAAAAATTCTACAGTAAACTAAATAGTTGTTGGAAAACAGGTTGAGAGCATAATTAACTATTATCATGGAAAATAAGTAATCTTATTAAGTTATTGGTTTCTGCAATGTCTCATTGTTCACAAATATTTTCTGTAGATTTCCTGGAACTTTTATTCAAAAGACTGCATTTTAAGAATTTGAAGAAATCTGCTAATAAATTCATAAAGAATAATAAATTCAATATAATAATGAAAAAGAAATAATTGATTCTAAACATTTTATTAGTTTACTGTAGATTTTTTGTGGTCGTTATTTACTGACTTCAAAAAATTGATTCTCAAAACGAAACCACCCAAATGGATGATTTTGAACGACGACTTTGCGCTCAAACTCAGTAATTATACATCATCAAAATGTTTTATATGTCTCAAATGAACCCTAAAAAATTTCTCCACAATACTACATTTTTAGTTCAACTACCATACATTGCCAGTCACTCCCTTTAAAGCCATCTAAACATTACACTCAAACTGCTCTAACCTCTGTTATATGTTAGATATGTCACCGCAAGCTATTTAAAGTTTAGACACATAAAGTCAGCTAAAAACTGGCGTCGCGCTTGGCATTTCAATTATCTTTTTTAAATAAATTATTTTCACTGCAAAATTTATTCAAATTAGTATTTTTACTTATGTTATGTAAATGTTTATTTCAGTATTAATGTCTGGTATTAATATAGATATTTTGGGTTTGTATTTCAGTTTGGTCGTCTTAGTTTGATGCAGATGCAGACCTGCAAAGACACCTTTTGCATACACTTTATGTAGAAAATTGCCTAACTGCCTAGTTGGATCAACTCTGTCTATTATGTATTATTTAGACATTTCACAAAACAGAGTTCAAGTAGAAGACAAACTTAGGCAAGAGTAATATTAAAATAATCCTTTTTATAGACAATTTAATGAAAATAATATTTAAAAATAATCACTGAAAAAATTGAATCTTCAAGAAAAGAATTTATTTACAAATTTTGTTTTATTCTTTTGACCAATTAGTACTGATTGTCTCCAGTCCCCACCTCCCCCTCCCCAACCTCTCCCATATCATGCAACTGGTCACCCTGCTCTGTACCTGAACCTACAGGTTAAGCATATACACAGGAAGAACACAATACATGCGGTCACCCTACTCTATACCTGAACCTACAGGTTGAACATATACACAGGTAGAATAAAATGCATGTGGTTACTCTGCTCTGTACCTGAACATACAGGTTGAACATATACACAGCTAGAATATAATACATGCGGTCACCATGCTCTTTACCTGAACCTACAGGTTGAACATATACACAGGTAGAATACAATACATGCGGTCACCCTGCTCTATACTTGAACTTACAGGTTGAACATATACACAGGTAGAACACAATACATGCGGTCACCCTGCTCTATACCTGAACTTTCAGGTTAAAGATATACACAGTAGGAATACAATACATGCGGTCACCCTGCTCTATTACTAAGCCTACAGGTTAAACATATACACAGGTAAAATACAATAAATGCGATCACCCTGCTCTGTACCTGAACCTTCAGGTTGAACATATACACAGGAAGAATACAATACATGCGGTCCACCAGCTCTGTACCTGAATCTTCAGGTTAAGCATACACACAGGTAGAACACAATACATGTGGTCACCCTGCTCTATACCTAAGCCTACAGGTTAAACATATACACAGGTAGAATACAATACATGCGGTCACCCCGCTCTATACCTAAGCCTACAGGTTAAACATATACACAGGTAGAATACAATACATGCGGTCACCCCGCTCTATACCTAAGCCTACAGGTTAAACATATACACAGGTAAAATACAATAAATGCGATCACCCTGCTCTATACCTATACCTATAGGTTGGACATATTCACAAGTAGAACACAATACATGCGGTCACCCTGCTCTATACGCGAACCTACAGGTTGAACATATACACAGGTAGAGTACAATACATGTGGTCACCCTGCTCTATACCTGAATCTCCAGGTTGAACATATACACAGGTAGAGTACAATACATGCGGTCACCCTGCTCTATACCTTTTTTTACATGCTAAAAAACTTTACGAACCTATAGTTATAGCTAAAAATTTATAATATTTCATTAGTGGTTCCTTGTAAAAGTGGTTTCGAAAACAGGCAATAAAAAATTGAAAAAAACGATTATATCTTCCTTATTGTTACTCAGATATAGGTTTAATAGTATCGTCGACAATCAGACATGCCATTGTTGAAATTACGTCTACAATAATATATATTTTGTGCAGGATGCATGTGAAACCTGTTCAAATGCGGAACTTTATTTGCGGAGGAGTTTTTAGGAGCGCCATTTTTTCAAACAAGAAATAAAATTAATTAATTTTGAAAAATAACTTAAATTTATTATTGGATATTTATTTTGGTTTAAATGATTAGACGAGATGAGATTGCAGACCATACAATCAACATTCATCAGCAAATACAGTGTGGTAAGCATGTAAAGGGAGTGTACATGTAATTTTTAAACACTTTTCAAACTATATAAACAACACTATTGATTCCACGTCAAATATAAGTAAAAAAACTGAGTAATAGTCACAAACTCGAACCTTTGATAATTCAAACTTAGATTATTTGATCCAAAAGAATCTATTGTTTGAAATATCTGAAGTCTACGACAGGGGGTTTCAAGGATAGAGGGATTATAAAATCAGAGTTTGTGGCTAAAGCTAAATTCATTTTCTAGAATGTAAATATGCGCAATACACATGAATGTCGTACAATGATAAATGGAAATATGCAAGCAATAAAAAACTTTTAACTCATCAGGGTAGGCTGGGGGACGGGGGGGGGTCCACCCCCTCCCCTGTGTTTTTTTCTAAATAACTTACTGACATTAGAACGCTAAAACTTCTTTACTTTTCCAAATTCATAGTTGTGTAAACAAAATTAGCAAAAAAAAAAATAAGAAATGGTTTCAATAACTTTTTAATTGAGTTACATTGAACTTTTTTTTAATATCCTCCCTTGCACCAAAAAAATAAAGCTAGAGGTCTAACCTTTTAAACTTGACAAGTTGGACTAGGGGCATGTATTACACTCCCCTTTCCCAACTCTATGGGCAAATCATAGGGGGATAAACACCCCCCCCCCCCCCCAACCTTAATTTGTGTGAAAAATAACAACAGTTTTTTAAAATCACTTTTAGTCAAGTAATCTTTTCTAAATTGTATAATAATCCATAACATTAAGAAAATGATTTGGTCCTTTATATCCTTAAACTGGGTAATAAAGAGGGATTTAACCATTTAATTTTAATTTAATATCTCCACCGCTCTCATTTAGTTTATCTATAGACTGCAGATACATAAATATAGCGTAGTAGATATTTTTATTGAAGGTTATTAACATTATAGATTTATCCACCAATGTAACTAGAAATATGGGTAAAAATACCATTAAATTAGTTGATAACTTTAGTCGCTGAATTGAACATTTTTTATCCGCATTTTAAAGAGAACCAAAGACACTCTATTTAAAGATGCTGCAAATTCTACGCACTTTGTTTGGTCTAATAATATGTAAACATATGTCGCCTTCTCTTATTACTACAGACATTTTTTTAATTTAATACTGTAATATCAAAGAAAAAAACTGTTTAATGCTTTTTACAGGGTGTCCCAAAAAATATGGGAATTCAGTAACGAATTCGATATCGTCTTTGTTATGAATTAGCATTGTAATACCTAATTTCATAAGCCATAATATTATTATGTCTGCTAGAGTTTATTTTATGAAAAGGGTAAAAGACTGTAAAGATGAGTCTATAATGTCTACGCAAGATGAACAGTGAAGACTGACAAGTTTACTCTGTTTGTATACTGTAATTTTTTTGTTTTATTAAGTACAACCGTATGCAGTCAAAACATAAACAAACAAAATGTGAACCCAGCAGACGAAACTCTTACAAATTACAGCTTTCTCAGTAGGTATCACCATACTAAATCTAAGAATTATTTAAAAAGACCATATCGAATTCGTCACTGAATTCCCATGTTTTTTGGGACACCCTGTACTTTTTAACCCAAATCCCCACAAAACAATTGACAAGTTAATTCGTTAGAACAGCATTGATTTATGCGAAATTATTACTTTGCTTATGATGAAACAAAAGACGACATTATCTTTAATTTATGTAATTTATTGTGTAATTCTAGGTTTAGAAAGTAGATGGTAGATGGGTAGATGTCCATATTAGTTTCTAGGTTGTAATTTTTAATGTAGTTCTAGGTTTAGAGAGTAGATGGTTGATGGGTAGATGTCCAACACAGTTTCTAGGTTATAATTTTTAGTGCTATTCTAAGTTTAGAAAGTAGATGGTTGATGTGTAGATGTCCATTACAGTTTCTAGGTTGTAATTTTTAGTGTAATTCTAGGTTTAGAGAGCATATTGTTGATGGGTTGATGTTCATTACAGTTTCTAGGTTGTAATTTTTAGAGTAATTCTAGGTCTAGAGAGTAGATTTTTGATTGGTAGATGTCCATTTCAGTATCTAGGTTGTAATTTTTAATGTAATTGTAGGTTTAGAGCGTAGATGGTTGATGGGTAGACGTCCATTGCAGTTTCTAGGTTGTAATTTTTAGTGTAATTCTAGGTTTAGAGAGTAGATGGTTGATGGGTAGATGTCCATTACAGTTTCTAGGTTGTAATTTCTCATACAAAATGATGTCACCCTTCTCACATCATGGCTCTGTACGGTAAAATTCATTATTGTAATATATTGTATAAAATGCATTTTTATGCAACTTATGTATTTCATGACTTTAATTCAAGAGATATGGTTAAAACACAAATTCTGTATACGTTAAGAAAAAAAACTTTTTTCTCCGAGTATATTTTTGAGTGAAGCCGTGCACAAAGGAACCAAACACTTGAAAATTTTAAATTTCTGTTCAATATATCTTTGCAACCTTTTGATGTTTGCAACCATTTGATATTTAAAATTTTTAATTTTTAATAAATAGTTTTAAATAACAAACGTCTATAACATGTTACAGAGATTTTAACGCTAGAGTATGAGGAGACTTATTAGTTACTTCCTTTCCTATTTAAAAAAAAGATTTATTTATATTTTCTATACGCATCTAATCAAGATTTTAAAACAAATTCAGGTTTTCCAGACTGGATGAAACATTTTACTGTGAAATAGAAACTGGGATTCAGAGGAACAATAAAAAGGTATTTTTTATCTAAAATAAAAACAGAGCTCCGAACTATTAAATGGGCGAGCTAAACTTATAATAAGTCTATTCAAATGAGTTGAATCAGTCCGTCCTCAAATTTCACTTTTATTGGTAAACTCATATTCTATTAAATGATAGGTCACAGCAATGGTAGTTCAAATCAGAGGCAGTTTATCAGAGGCAGAATTTAAAAACATGGTTGGCTCCAAAGACTCTCTAGATAAAGATGCTGCATCGCAAGATCTACGCAAATTTTACGCACTTTGTTTGGTCTGATAAAGTTTGTAACAAATGCCGTCTTCTCTAATGAATTAAGGTATTTTTTGCTTGCAATTGTAAATTCCAATCCATTTAATGAAACATACTTTTTAAACCAAATCCTCACAAATCAATTGACAACTTAATTGGTTATAAATGCATAGATTTCTGCGAAATTATTTCCTTGCTTTTGATAAAACAAAAGACGACATTAACTTAAATTTTTTCGGATATATTTGTTCTCCTCCTTTGTTCCTTTCACTGCCTAAAATGTCACTCCGTAGCACTTGAAATAACATATTTGACTAGATCTGAAAATTTTCATTAACAATTATTGGTTTTTTTCAACGAAAAGTAAGAGATACGTAATTTATTCACAAAATTCAGGTTTGTTTCAATAAAAAATCCTTTTATCCAACAAATAATCAAATAAGTTTAGAAATACAAATTAATATTATTAATTTTTGTTCACATTTAGCTCAATATATTCACAACTGTGTTAAATAACTGCAGTTTTAATGTTGACGCGCAAGCAACCAAAATAACCAATGACGTCAAATACAGCTGTACAGGTCGTACACAATAGTCAGGTAAACTTCTGTTGCAGCATCAATTGGGTCTTTGGTTGGTTCCAATTGAAATGGTATTCAGTGTTTCGAGATTTGAGCCGGTTTTTGGAGGTTCAGCGAGGCAGTTTAAATTCTTTAAATTCTGCCTCTGTTTTTTTCGTTATCAGCCAAATAGAAATCAGGATTCTGACTGAATTCAGGAATAATTCGTGATTTTCTAATATTTGACCTTTTCGCGCCCTTTATCTAAAGAATCTGTTCAGGTATCTGGGTTGGATACTTTTCCTACAGAACTTCTTCTCTATATTATCTCCTTCCTAGATCCAATCTCTATACGGAACCTTAGTCTAACATGCTCCAGGATACGCCAGGTTTGCTTAGTCTAACATGCTCCAGGATACGTCAGGTTTGCTTAGTCTAACATGCTCCAGGATACGCCATGTTTGCTTAGTCTAACATACTCCAGGATACGACAGGTTTGCTTAGTCTAACATACTCCAGGATACGCCAGGTTGGCTTAGTCTAACATACTCCAGGATACGCCAGGTTTTCTAATTCTAACATGCTTCAGGATACGCCAGGTTTTCTTAGTCTAACATGCTTCAGGATATGCCGGGTTTTCTTAGTCTAACATGCTCTGGGATACGCCAGGTTTGCTTAGTCTAACATGCTCCAGGATACGCTAGGTTTGCTTAGTCTAACATGCTCCAGGGTATGCCCTGTTTGCTTAGTCTAACATGCTCCAGGATATGCCATGTTTGCTTAGCTTAACATGCTCCAGGATATGCCATGTTTGCTTAGCTTAACATGCTTCAGGATATGCCATGTTTGCTTAGCTTAACATGCTTCAGGATATGCCATGATTGCTTAGCTTAACATGCTCCAGGATATGCCATGTTTGCTTAGCTTAACATGCTCCAGGATACGCCAGGTTTACTTAGTTTAACATGCTCCAGGATATGGCATGTTTGCTTAGCTTAACATGCTTCAGGATACGCCAGGTTTACTTAGTCTAACATGCTCCAGGATATGGTATGGTTGCTTAGCTTAACATGCTCCAGGATATGCCATGTTTGCTTAGCTTAACATGCTACAGGATTCGCTTGGTTTACTTAGTCTAACATGCTCCAGGATATGGCATGTTTGCTTAGCTTAACATGCTTCAGGATACGCCAGGTTTACTTAGTCTAACATGCTCCAGGATATGCCATGTTTGCTTAGTCTAACATGCTCCAGGATATGGTATGTTTGCTTAGCTTAACATGCTCCAGGATATGGTATGTTTGCTTAGCTTAACATGCTCCATGATATGGCATGTTTGCTTAGCTTAACATGCTCCAGGATATGGCATGTTTGCTTAGCTTAACATGCTCCAGGATACGCCAGGTTTGCTTAGTCTAACATGCTCCAAGATACGTCAGGTTTGCCTAATCTAACAAGCTGATCCAGGATACGCCAGGTTTGTTTAGTCTAACATGCTTCAAGATATGGCATGTTTGCTTAGCTTAACATGCTCCAGGATACGTCAGGTTAGTTTAGTCTAACATGCTTCAAGATATGGCATGTTTGCTTAGCTTAACATGCTCAAGGATACGTCAGGTTTGTTTAGTCTAACATGCTCCAGGATATGCCATGTTTGCTTAGCTTAACATGCTTCAAGATATGCCATGTTTGCTTAGTTTAACATACTCCAGGATACGTCAGGTTTACTTAGTCTAACATGCTTCAAGATATGCCATGTTTGCTTAGCTTAACATGCTCCAGGGTACGTCAAGTGATGATTGACACGTTGTTCTTAATGTCAACCTAATTTTAAGAATCTTATAAAGAATGATGAATTTAATTAATTTGATTTATAAACTAATATTTCTAATTTGCTCAGGTTTAATGTATCTTTTATGTTTCAGATTTGTAAAACGAAAGTTTACACCAGGGGTATGGTTCAGCTGTCCTGGTCTAAACAAAGGAATACAGGACGGAGAAGAGATAGGTTAGGAATATAATTTCATAATAATGAGAACAGGATGGAGATGGTTTGGCTCAGGAGTAGAATTTTATATAAGGAATACAAGACGGAGAAGGATAGCTCAGGAGTAGAATTACATTATAAGGAATCAAGAGCTTTCAAGAACATGCAGAGTGTATCCACACCTGGACCATCAGGAACAACAAAAAGCTTCTTCTTGTGGTTGATCTCCATGATCCCCAATCTTTTCACAATGCATATAAATGGGTCAAGAAGCGCAAAATTTGCTTTATACCCTGGCCAGGAAGACCAAAAAACAAAATAGAAAGCTACCGCACAATCAGTCTTCTTAAAGTGTATAACAAAATCCTTCCAAAACTTTTGTGTTTACAAACTACGAGAATCTGTCCACAGACAGTGATCAACAGTGCTAAAAGAACTGGAAAACCTATTCATACAGTATTTTTGGATGTAAGAGTTGCCTTTGACCTCACAACAACAGAAGCCACAACAGCAATGATGAAACATCTAGGAACACCAGACGAGCCAATGAAGAAACTCGGTGCACTGACAACCAAAGGAGTCTTCTGTGTAGAAAAGTATGGATCTACCTCAACGGAAACTAAAATGTACAAGGCGATCCAGCCAGCTCAGATAAGTACAATGTCACTTATGAAGGAAATACTCTACTCTACAAAGCCATGAGATTTAATTGGGCGTTAAGAGATGGTGATGAGCTTGTACGCATTCAGGAGAAACGGCAACAACTAGCTCATGTAATAAGATGTAATAAGTTGGTCAATAAGACAACTACAAACAACCTCTCATTGTTTTTTTCTTTTCTTTCTTCTCTCTTTAATAATTAGGACAACATAATATGATCTTATTATTATAAATGTTTAAATATTGGGATTTAATAAAAATTAAAAGTTTATGTGTTGTTCCTCATTACCATCTAAAAAGTAATAATGTAAAAATGTAGTCAATAAGGAAGCAGTAAATACAAAAAGTACATGAAGTTAGAAGGTTTAAGTGTATAAAATTAGGATAAATAAATAATTAGCTAAATTAAATGGATGAATGTAATACATAAACAAAGTAGTACATAATACACTAACACTTCTAATACCAAGGTTATATTGCAAGGAAAGTTAATTGCAGTTGCATATACTCTGCGTAGATATTGAAACCAGTTCTCTCTGGGCGGAATTTGTATACAAGAATAGATGCATCAGTGTTCGTTCAGTATCAAAGGAGGTTTAAACCATTAAATTTTGATAATTTTGATAATTCACATAATTTTTTCCTATGACCAGAATATTTCATTGATTTTTTTATGTGAGAGATGGATCACATGTCAGGCTTTGACATCTGTCTTGTGTTTACATTACCGCCCAGAGACAGTACACTGCAGTACAAGAGATGCAAACGCCTCTGAAATAACTTTCTTTGCATTAAAACCTTGACAAATACAAGCTCCACATTTTTAATTTATCCCATCTTCAAACTTACTCAGTTCCTATTCCTAAACTTATCACCTTTACAGAGCTAACTAAATACTCCCCTTCTCCTGAATTCAGTTTTTTCCCCTTTTTAATAGTGGTTTTTTCTTTCTTTCCTTCTCCTAATGCTCAATTTAACCCCCCCCCCCTCCCTCCTTACATCCTTTCATTCCCAAAAATATATCTCAAAAGTCTATTTTTTTTTATTTTCTCCAAAATTCCACATGAACACAATTACATGAAGCAGCGAATTACAATGGTAAACCTTATCTTAAAATCTTTGCATCATACTTGTTGAAAATTATTTTGTTTTATGTATATATTAGTTTTTAATATGTACCAGTAAAACTGATTCCCAACAGTTACTGACATCTTGTCTTTCATTCCATACAATTCAAAGTTATAATTTACAAGGGGGGTTGAAGGGAGTGCTTTCTAGCCGGGGTGTTGCATTTTTGTCAAATAAACTACTAGATGGGCACTGATGGACATTACATTTACACGGGCTGATTCAAATACAGTGCAGTCAGGATAGCACAAGGAAGTAGGAAATAGATAAGTAGGAGAATATGAGAGAAACTTTCTTAGAAGCCAGAGAATCCAGATGTACAAACATGAAAGGAAAAGATAGACGTAATAGAAAAGACAGAGGAACAAAATAAGGAAAATAAAATTGTGCAACAAAATGTCGTAGCGGAGAAAAGGACAAAAGGACACAACTCAATTGTATCTGAAGTTCCTGACGGAAAAAAAGACAAAAGGACACAACTCAATTGTATCTGAAGTTCCTGACGGAAAAAAGGACAAAAGGACACAACTCAATTGTGTCTGAAGTTCCTGACGGAGAAAAAGACAAAAGGACACAACTCAATTGTATCTGAAGTTCCGGACGGAAAAAAAGACAAAAGGACACAACTCAATTGTGTCTGACGTTCCTGACGGAAAAAAGGACACAACTCAATTGTATCTGAAGTTCCTGGCGGAGAAAAGGACAAAAGAACACAACTCAATTCTATCTGAAGTTACGGACGGAGAAAAGGACAAAAGGACACAACTCAATTCTATCTGAAGTTCCGGACGGAGAAAAGGACAAAAGGACACAACTCAATTGTATCTGAAGTTTTAGACTGAGAAAAGACAAACGAACATAACTCAATTCTATCTGAAGTTTTAGACTGAGAAAAGGACAAAAGGACACAACTCAATTGTATCTGAAGTTCCGGACTGAGAAAAGTACAAAAGGACACAACTCAATTGTATCTGAAGTTCCGGACGGAGAAAAGGACAAAAGAACACAACTCAGTTGTATCTGAAGTTCCATTAGTGACAAAAATAATTATCGTTAGTCAAGCATAAGACTTGCAATGGAGCAATGCAAAAGTTGGATTACACATCTTTTAATCAATCTTGAGTAATACAAATAATAGAAAGACTTCAATAACAAACTGGAAATAGGTTTACTGACGTGTTGTTTTATTTGTATGCGTGAGCTTGTGCCCACATCCTGTAATAAAAAAAACAAATTATTAAATTTAAAACCATAATAAGGAACACAGGACGGAGAAGGATAGGTTAGCTCAGGAGTAGAATTGAATTTCTATTTAATATCGACATTTAGAACGGACCAAATACATTTTTCCCAAACAGTTTGAATTTAATCCTAGATCAAAGGTTAGAAGAAAAAAAGAAACCACAAAATCTTTTTTAGGAATTCTTGGGATGTGTCGGGATTTGTCTGGTCTTTTTCTACAGCTATGCAACCAATACACATATGGGTCAGGGTAGGTTTACTCATCTGTTGGCAGAAGTTTAGAAATATTAGGTCTTTTAAACCTTAACATTATTTTTTTTTCAGGAGGATTCAGGAAAACTGGAAGAACACATGAAAACCTGTTTTCAAAACAAAAAAACAAAAATAAAAGCGGTTTCTCCAAACAAACTTTTTGTAAAAGAATTAGAATCTCGGCTGTGTCGAGTGATTAAATAATGTATGGTTGTTTTAGTTATATAGTTGTGTTAAATATAAACAGTTAGATAAAAGTATTTTTTATCATAAATAATACAAAAATATTTACGGCAAATCCTGATTTGTTTCGTACGATTCAACAACACTAACACATTTTTGTGAGCTTCAGAACTCGTTCATAAAATTATATATTACTGCAATTGTTTAATCTTAACTCACACAAACAAGACAGACAAATATATTTTAGATTATGAAATAAAAAAGGAAAACTAGTTGATTTTTTTTTTGGGGGGGGGGGAATAAAATTGCAGATAGCTTCATTATAAGGTAGATTTCCCATACCATGGAACAGGAAAAAAGTCCAAGAAAATAAAGTCACAAAATGGTAGGATTTTATTTCCAAAGACTTTCACCGAATTCTTTAATCATGATGTAAAAGAATTGAGTTTTTGTTAAAAATTCAAATTTTCTAATCCATATATCTTTGCGACATAATAGAATGTTTAATATTTCAAATATAGATTATTTGTTCTAACAGAATTCATATGTTTGAAATATTTAAGGTCTACGAGAAGTACTTAGAAAATTAGATTTTTTGGCAACAACTCAGTTCCTTTTATTAACACAGATAAAAAGTTTGTTCTAGAGTTCTAATTGGTACACCATCTCTTTGAGATTGTTTGTCTCGGTTCTGAGGTTTAGTTCCGGGCCTGGGGTTTGGTTCCGGTCGGAAATGAATGAAATGTAAAAAAATTAAATATTAATGAAGTAACAGGAAACATAAATGGATTTATCTCCATTATAAACCCCAGAGCCTTCACATATATACATTCTGGTCTTAGTGACTTAATTTATCGAACAGCCATGGCCCTGGAACTTAATATCCTTCTAGCCAACCCCTAAAGACTTTAATACTTTTATGTCCAGACATCCAGGCACTTGAAGAGACTCTTAATCCAGGTCCTGAAACTTTATAAATTCAGATATTCAGACCTTTTTATGGATATTAAATCCAAGTTCTAAAACTTTATATCCAGGTATTCAGACCTTTTTATGGATATTAAATCCAAGTTCTAAAACTTTATATTCAGATATTCAGACCTTTTCATGGATATTAAATCCATGAAAAGGTCAGACACTTTTAGGGACATTCAATCCAAGCCCTGAAACTTTATAAATTCAGATATTCAGACCTTTTCATTGATATTAAATTAAAGTCCTAACACTTTATATTCAGATATTTAGTCCTTTTTAGGGACATTAAATACAGGCCCTGAAACTTTATATTCAGATATTCAGACCCCTTTTATGGACATTAAATCCAGGCCCTAAAACTTCATAAATTCTGGTATTCAGACCTTTTCATGGATATTAAATTCAAGTCCTAACACATTATATTCAGGTACTCATACCTTTTTAGGGACATTAAATCCAAGTTCTAAAACTTTATATCCAGATATTCAGACCTTTTTATGGATATTAAATCCAAAGTTCTAAATTTTATATCCAGGTATTCAGACCCTTTTATGGATATTAAATCCAAGTTCTAAAACTTTATATCCAGGTATTCAGACCCTTTTAGGGACATTAAATCAGTACATTTTTTTTAATCCTCTGTATTAATTAAGTAGTCCTTAACCTTAAAATTTGATAAGCATTAAAGTTAAGATAATTTTTGTTAAATACTTTACGTGTTCATCAACATTCTGTAGAGTGTTCCCAAGAAACATGGGAATTTAAACCCAAAACACAACTAAAAGTAAATTTTTAAAAATCCGATGTTTTTAAATAGGCAAGGTTTGCCTATCAGTGTATATAATGTATAGTGATATGATTATAACCTGGAACCAAGGGGAGTGAGTGTGGACGGATCAAAGCTTTCTCTATGGAACTGTTTGAATATATTTCTATACTTTGGTTTCCAGGTGATGGACTAAACACTAGGAACCACCAGTATTAAACATACACTGATTTATCAAGCAGTTCATAATTTATATACTGATTTTATTTTAGTTTTTAAACCCTGATAATTCATGTTTCTATATCGCCGTCAACAGTTTTGTGTTTCCTTCTTTCTTTAGTTATCTACACCTACACGATCATTTTTTTCAACTTTGGTTTACTAGAGATATAAACCTTGCTCATTCTAGGTTAATAAAACTATAATATTAGAATATACATATTGATTATTCCAGTATCCAAACTTTGTTAATTTAAGATCATTTTTAAAGTCCTCATATATAATTTTATTTCTGAAGTGGAACCCAAGAAATTATGGAATATGAATAAGATTGTTTGACTCAAGTTATGATTTTAAAAGAACATGAAACACAGCAATTGTGCAGTGTACACAGGCTCATTTCACTTTGATTTTCAAGCTTCTTGTAAAAGTATTTGCTTTATAACAACATGAAATACACACATAATATTGCTTAAATGTTTCGACAGTTATCTGGTTCTCACTTTGTAAACCTTTGAACTTCTATTTTTTAACCTTTGATATCCGAGATTCCAAGGTTTCTAAACCTTTCAAAATCTTTCTTGTAAACATTTTAAAACCTTCAGAATTCAATCCATTGAAACCTTCCAAACCTTAATATCTTACAATTCAATCTTTAATTGTTTTCGCCGTGTTTTCAGGTATTTCGCTACTCTTCTAAAAATCTGCTTGCTAAACCTTCATAATTTATTTTTGAACTTAAAAATATTTTAACTATTATATAGATTTTTAAAGATTATGTAAGAATGAGAGTTCTTTGGTTTAGCTTTGGATAGAAGAAATATTTTTTTTTTCAGTGAGTATTGGCTATAGCTTAATTTTTGAATTAATGATTTAAAAAATGAAACGTTGCATAAAAGATCAAATATTTTGGTTTAAAAGAAAAAAGAATTTTTATATTAACAATATCATTTTTTTGTAAATACTTCATTTATGTTTATTTTTAGCGAAGTCTGAAGGCTGAAGGTAGTTATGGGAGGGCAGTCATATGAGAGATATGTAAAGAAAGGAACACCATGTTGGAAGGTATTAACATTTTATTAATTAGAACATCATATTCAAATTTTCGGTAAATTCCTAGTATACGATTTTAAAACCCCTCCCCCCCGCCCCCCCCCCTTTCTATCAATTTTGTACATGGATCTCATGTAACCCATGGATATAAGTGTTCATGTGGCCGGAGCGCCTGCCCCCTAGTGTCCTGGCCACAGCGCTCGGCCCCATAGCCTGTCATAGCCGCAGAGCTCGTCACCCTAGCCTGTCCTTGCCGCAGCGCTCGGCCCAGAAATTGTCTTAACCTAACCTAACCCTAAAATAATAATATTTTTGCTGAAGAATAAGTGGTCATGCACAAAATTGATAGGAAGGGGGGGGGGTCCAAAAATCGTTTACTAGGACGGACCCAAATCTTCTCAATGCAATGGCTCAAAAGGTTTTCAAAGTTCAGAGTGAATACAAGAGAGGGAAGGGGAAGGGCAAGGACGCAGTGCCATCTAAAAACAGAAATATATGAATATCATTTTTACTCTTTGACTCTAAAGAACACTTTAAAACTGCTTTGATTCCCTTATTTTTACATTTAGTCTCCTCTACTACATTCAAGGAAAGGGTAGAGGATCGAGGATTTAATACATATATTAAAACTTACTGATTAGTGAAAAATCGGTAGTTGGCATTTAATACAATAAACACTCTTACATAAAGTAGCATGATATTATTGTCACTATGTTCACTGACGCAAATTTTGCTATACTAATTACTAATTACTAATTACTATTACTGGATTGAACTGGATTCTTTACCATATTTCTGTAAAATATATGCTAAATCAAGGTTGTAATGCAAGGAAAGTTATTTCAGAGGTATACGCATCTTTTGTACTGCAGTGTACTGTCTCTGGGCGATAATGTAAACACAAGACGGATGCCAAAGCCTGACATGGTATCCATCTTTCAAATAAAAAATCAATGAAATATTCTAGTCATAGGAAACTATTATGTGAATTATCAAAATTATCAAAATTTAATGCTTTTAACCTCCTAGGATTCTAAACGAACACTGATGCATCTATTCTTGTTTACAAATTCCGCCCAGAGAGAACTGGTTTCAAAATGTACGCAGGGTATACGCAACTGCAATTAACTTTCCTTGCATTTCTTACCTTGTGCTAAATCGAATAATGTGTACAGGTTATTGTGAACATTCTCTTCTCCCACGTGGGTCTCGTACTCCTTGTTATTGGCTACGCAGCCGGAGGAGCAAAGGTCTTCATGTGGCTGGAACAGGAAAGGGAAGAATTAGTGGTCAGTTATGATTTAATACTTATTTTGTACTGGGTTGCCTAAAAATTGAAGAAATTAGGGGTAGGAAAATTTCTGTGACAGTACAACATTTTTGGAAAATTAATGGATTTAATAAACTGCTACTATGCTCAGCCCTAGTACAGATGGTAGTTTTTGAAATCTATTTAATATTTAGGAAGCTTTAGATTTTTAGACTAGGAAACGATGCAGAGAATACGTGGATTGGATGTTTATATTTTAAGAAGCTCTGAAACTGTCCAAGACTAGGGATGTTGATGTTTATATTTTAGGAAGCTCTGAAAATGTCCAAGACTAGAGATGTTGATGTTTATTTTTTAGAAAGATGTGTAACTGTCCAAGAATAGGGCTTTGAAAATGTCCAAGACTAGGAATGTTGATGTTCATATTTTAGGAAGCTGTGAAAATGTCCAAGACTAGGGATGTTGATGTTTATATTTTAGGAAACTGTGTAGGGATGTTGATGTTTATTTTTTAGTAAGCTGTGAAACTGTCCAAGAATAGGGATCGATGTTTATGTTTATATTTTAGGAAGCTTTGAAACTGTCCAAAACTAGAGATGTTGATGTTTATATTTTAGCAAGATGTGTAACTGTCCAATACTAGGGATGTTGATGTTTATATTTTAGGAAACTGCGTAGGGATGTTGATGTTTATTTAGAAAGCTGTAAAAATGTCCAAGACTAGGGATATGGATGTTCATATTTTAGGAATTAGTGAAAAGTTCCAAGACTAAGGATGTGAATGACGCTGTTGATTACCTTAAACAACAGTTCTGGCAGTACGGTACAAATGAAATCAAATACAACTACACACGGAATGAGTTTAAGGTATCAATTCAGTATGGTGTACACTGTATGTGTACACAGTATGTGTTGTGTACACTGTATGTGTACACAGTATGTGTTGTGTACACTGTATGTGTACACAGTATGTGTTGTGTACATTGGTGTGTACACCCCAAAAGCATGAACTTATTTTTATCAAGTACATATTATTATTGTTGAGGGTCAAAATTTGTTATTACTAAAAATTGAAATATTACTCATGTTTAAACCAAATTTTCTCTATAAAAGTCAACCAACTCAACATTTTTGATCAGACAAAGAACATCTCTTGGTTCCACCAAATTGCCCGATCAAAATGTAAAGCTCATTGGTTAAGGAATTCATGAGTTATGATCGGACATACAAACAAACAGACTCACAGAAATTAATACTTTTTGTATTTAAATTTTTATGGATTTAATAGGACTTACCTATTTGTATTTGTAAAGGATGCTGTCTACCAAGATTTATATTGTATAGGATTTGGTATACGGAGATTTATTTGTATTTGTGTAGGATGCGGTCTACCAAGATTTTTATTTGTATAGGATGCGGTCTACCAAGATTTGAATTTGTTTAGGATTTGGTCTACCAAGATTTGTATTTGTATAGGATGCGGTTTACCAAGATTGGTGTTTGCATAGGATGCGGTCTACCAAGATTTGTATTTTATTAGGATGCAGTCTACCAAGATCTGTATTTGTTTAGGATGCAGTCTACCAAGATTTGTATTTTATTAGGATGCGGTCTACCAAGATCTGTATTTGTTCAGGATACGGTCTACCAAGATTTGTTTTTGTTTAGGATACGGTCTACCAAGATCTGTATTTGTTTAGGATACAGTCTACCAAGATTTGTATTTGTCTAGGATTTGGTCTACTAAGATTTGAGTTGTGTAGGATGCGGTCTACCAGGATTTTAATTTGTTTTGGATTTGGTCTACCAAGATCTGTATTTGATTAGGATGCAGTCTACCAAGATTTGTATTTCTTTAGGATGCGGTCTACCAAGAGTTGTATTTGTTTAGGCTACTAAGATTGGTAGTTGTTTAGGATGTGGTTTACCAAGATCTGTATTTGTTTAGGATGGATTATACCAAGGTCTGTATTTACTTAGGATGCGTCTCCCCCAAGTTTTTTTTTTGTTGAGGATGGAGTCTACCAAGATTTGTATTTGTTTAGGCTACGAAGTTTTGTATTTGTATAGGATTTGGTATACCAAGATTTGTATTTGTGTAGGATGCGGTCTACCGAGATTTTTAATTGTATAGGATGCAGTCTACCAAGATTTGTATTTGTTCAGGCTACCAAGATCTGTATTTGTTTAGGATGCGGTCTACCAAGATCTGTATTTGTTTAGAATACGGTCAACCAAGAATTGTATTTACTTAGGATACGGTCTGCCAAGATTTGTATTTACTTAATACAAAGATTTTTTGTTTAAGATGCACCAAGATTTATATTTGTATAGGATTTGGTATACCGAGATTTGTATTTGTGTAGGAATGCGGTCTACCAAGATTGGTATTTGTGTAGGATGCAGTCTACCAAGATTGGTATTTATATAGGATGCAATCTACCAAGATTGGTATTTAATTGTTTAAAATGCGGTCTACCAAGATTTGTATTTGTATAGGATGCGGTCTACCAAGATTGGTATTTGTATAGGATGCGGTCTACCAAGAATTGTATTTACTTAGGATACGGTCTGCCAAGATTTGTATTTACTTAATACAAAGATTTTTTTGTTTAAGATGCACCAAGATTTATATTTGTATAGGATTTGGTATACCGAGATTTGTATTTGTGTGGGATGCGGTCTACCAAGATTGGTATTTGTATATGATGCAGTCTACCAAGATTGGTATTTATATAGGATGCAATCTACCAAGATTGGTATTTTATTGTTTAAAATGCGGTCTACCAAGATTTGTATTTGTATAGGATGCGGTCTACCAAGATTAGTATTTGTATAGGATGCGGTCTACCAAGATTTGTATTTGTATAGGATGCGGTCTACCAAGATTTGAAGGCTTTGGAACGCTTTGTACTTGAGGCTGCAAATGAATATGGATATGATGGAACTGATGAATTCAGTCGAGATTTTAGGAAATCATTTTCATCATTCTTGAAAAATCTTTTTCAATGTTTACAAATGCTATAGTCTTTGAAAAAAACACTATAAAATCTTAAGACTTTTATATAAACTTTTACTAATTGCATTTTCCTAAATCTATTTATTAGTTTAGGATTATCATTTTCCTAAATCTATTTATTAGTTTAGGATTATCATTTTCCTAAATCTATTTATGAAAAATTGAATTAGTTTCGCAAGCTCCATACTGTTCACCATCACTATTATGACGACTGTAGGATATGGCCATATAGCTCCAAAAACTATGGCATCCAAAATGTTTTGCATTGCATACGCTCTTGTAGGTGAGTAATAATCGTATTTCGTGCAAAAAGTTTTTGTTTGTTAAATTTGGTCATTAGAAAGAAAATAGAGAATAGAATATATCTTAGAGTGGAATTTAATAAACAAAAGTTTAAAATGGCCATCTTGTTGTACTGTTTCCATACTGCAGGTGTACTTCACATATTTATGCTATATAACCTTTTGGGCCCTGGAATATCATTTCATAGAAAATCTCAAATTAATATGAACCAAATTATGAAATAAGCTGGTTTCATAATTGACCAATGATCATTTCAAATAGAATGTATGCCTAATTCTAAGCCTAATACCTAATTCATTTTATAAAGTTTATTTACAGCTTTAAAAAATTCGAAATTGAAATGGATAGTCTAGGGAACATACTGTAATAATGTATTCTACGGCATATAATTTGTGAACATTTACATGATTTGTACACTTTGAACTCACTTTCAGGCTGAAAGGGACTGAACAAATTCATATCCAGGGGGTATACTAAATTCCACTCTAATATATATTCTATTCTCTTTGTGTGAACCTCATAGACAATAGACATACCCTCCAAATAGGCACATACATACATATATATTACTTACTTATCGATTGACTACTTGTCCATTTTATGACTATTAACAAATTTTTTCAATATCTTATTTACATTTTTTCTTAACATTCAAAATTAACATGGCTTGACTTTGAAAAATTTATGTAAATTTTAAAATCTTCAACTGCAGTCCCTTTAACACCATATAGTATACATCCATAGAGAATAGAAAATTTATTAGAGGGGAATTTAGAGAATCTCTCGGTATAAATTTTTTCAGTCCCTTTCAGCCTGGAAGGGAGTTTAAAGTGTACAAATCATGTAAATGTTCACAAATTTTATGCAGTAGAGTACATTAATACTATATGTTCCCTAGACTATTCATTTCAATTTCGAATTTTTCAAGCTGTTAAATATTCTTTATAATGAATTAGGTGAATAAAAAACTTCATTTGATTTATAGTTATAACGGAAAATCATCGTTTGTAAAGTGAAAGGCATAGAGTCTATGTGAAATGATCATTGCTCAATTATGAAACCAGCCTATTCAATAATTTAGGTTTCTTTTAACATTAATTTTAGATTTTCTATAAACTGATATTCCAGGGCCCAAAAGGTTATATAGCATAAATATGTGAAGTACACCTGCAGTATGGGAACAGTACAACAAGATGGCCGTTTTACACTTTTTCTAGTAAATTCCCCTGTAATATATATTCTATTCTCTTTGTATACATCCTTAAGGAATCCCTCTGATGTTGGTGTTCATGGGGAAGATCGGAGATTGGCTAGCTGTTACATTTCGTTGGTTGTACAGTAGGATATTCTGCAGGTACAGTACATCTATAGTCTATAAATATAGTTGTAATCTCTGTTTGTCTATCTGTTTGTTTGTTCGATTATAGCTCAAGCACCCCAGGACCGATTTGCCTCAAATTTTGATTGGGTAACTCGGGAGAGCCACGGGAAAGTTCTTAGTTCCAAAGACCGGTAGTATACCATACATTTCCGCTGCAAGTACAGCATATTGACCATACAGTACATAAACCTACAGTACTAGGTGTTTCTGTAGGTACAGAAAGGTTTTATAAGAGGTAAAGTACAAGAACCATACAGTAGGGTATCCTGCAGTTGCAGATACAGTACATATACTATACAGTTAAGTATTTTGCAGGTACAGTACACTACATATACCATACATTAGGGTATTCTGCAGGTACAGTACATATACCATACATTAGGGTATTCTGGAGGTACAGTACATGTACCATAAAGTAGGGTTAAGTACATATACTATAAAGTAGGGTATTCTGCAGGTACTGTACAAAATCCATACTATGTAGGGTGTTCTGCTGGTACAACACATACCCATAGATAAAGATAGATTGCGCATAAGACGACATTTTTCATCTTGAAAGATATAAATGTACACAGATGTTTTAAAGATATTCCTATTATATAGATTAACTAGGTTGGTTGTGAACATTGGCTGTTCTTATGTCATTGAGTACTTGTGGTGTACATAAGTTCTGTAGAGAGAAATTTAAGTTAGTTTTTTATTCCTTCTCATGTCCTTCTTCACTTCTCGTCAATATGATATATTGCTCAGTGAAATATTGCTGTTCAAATAGTTTCATTCCCGGAGTTATTTTACACTCTATTATGAAATCCATTAAAACACCAAACCCCGCTTATCATTGAAGTACACTTTGACCCCTAGAAGTACGAGTTCGCGTACTGTACAATTCTTGGCGATTTTGCGTACATAAGCTATCTATGTTTACTTATTTATCCATGCATATACCATACAGTATGGTTCTGTAATTACAGTACTTAAACCATCTAGAAGGGTGCTCTACAGGTACAGTACATAATGCATACTGTAGGTTATTTTACAGGTACAGTATATAACCATACAGTAGGTCCATTAATCTATCCAACTGCCTGGTTATTCAATATTCATGTCTACAGATCTATCTATCTATCTATGTTTCTATCTATCTATCTCTATATCTGTAAATCTATCTATCTTTATATCTATCTATCTAGAAGTGTAAGATCTAATGGTGGTTCTGAATACACAATACAAATACATGTTGACACCGAATCTTTGATAAATTGCATTTGTTCAATTTGGAATAAATTATTCATCGAACAAATTCTGTTATTATAGTGACAAAGTTTTGATATCTGGAACAAATCATATTCCCGAATATTCCCTATGTATTCGATCCTCAAATTGAATTTTATTATTCCAAACCCTCTTCCCTCTCTTCTATGGAGGGGGACAAAAGAAGGAGAGGATATGGGGGGAGGATATTTGAGTTTTGAGAAGGTGTCATAAGAAATTTATGATATGCAGATAGGGGATTGTGTTCACAAGGAACGGGGTAGGGGGAAGGGGGGTTTGAAAATAATAAATATTTAGAGAGAACCGACTATTGAAAATAATCAAATTTAAAGAGTTGACGGATATCAGTATCCTGAAATTACGCGTATTAAGTTTAAGTAACTCAACATTTTTTATTTATTTTGTGATTTGAAGGAACTGAGCACTCTCTTCTAACTCTAATTTTCTATAACTGTGTATTCTTAGAGGGAAACCTTAAATAATTCATATTTCAGGAAGTGAATCCAGTTCATAGTTTGAAATATCAACACATAAGACATCAGATTGCATGATATAAGGATGGGAAAATTAGAATTCATAAAGAGTGAACAGCTTTCATTTCAATTTTATAAATATATAAAAATATTTTATTAGGTTTATTTAAATATGTTCTTTATAAGGTTGGGACCCTGTAACCTCGGCTTATTTTTGTTTTGTAACCCTGACTACTATTGGGTTCGGGGACTATACACCGGTGGACTCATTTGCAGGTAGAGCTTATATATGTACAATTCCCAAGGTAAAGAAAAGGTCCCGAGAATCTTTTATACTTTAGACTCCATTTTCACCCGTCAAATGGAGATTTGTCTTTTTTTTGCTATTAAATACTTTTTGTTGGGCTATATCGCAAAGTAGATATTAATGGAGGTTCAGTGTACTAAGTACAGCAGGTAAGCTGAGCCCAAAACTTAAGACAGGGTATCCTTCTGAAAACCAGTTTGAAAACCCGAGTTTCACGAATGGGGTTAGACAGTTTTGTGAATATCAATATTTTTGTTATAAAGTATTATTTTATTCAGTTTGTTTATATTCTCATTTTTTCGAATCTTTTAAATCAAAATCTACACAAATGTTAAGACCCCAAATGGGAAACTCGGGAGTTTTGTCCAACGATACTCTTTTAAATTTCGGGCTCTGGGGAAAACTGTACAACTTTAGAAAAACTGGGGTTATTTGTGTACGTATTCTTAAAAACGTAATTTTTCCAGCCAGTCTTTGTTTACTTTCTTATTTTTTGTTTACATTTTAGGAGGAAAATATCTATCTATCTCTCAGATCATTTAGTATTGATGTGTACGCCGGCAAAATGCCTACTAAATATATGATCTAAATATATGCCAAAATCGAAGTTTAAAACAAACCCCTGCAGACCCTGCAGACCCTGCAAATTTGATTGAACATATTCCAATACGAATAGGATGTACTCTATGAGAGATCATATATGATTGAACATATTCCAATACAAATAGAATGTACTCTATGAGAGATCAACTATGATTGAACATATTCCAATACAAATAGGATGTATACTCTATGAGAGATCAACTATGACTGAACATATTCCAATACAAATAGGATGTACTCTATGAGAGATCAAATATGATTGAACATATTCCAATACAAATAGGATTTACTCTATGAGAGATAATATATGACTGAACATATTCCAATACAAATAGGATGTACTCTATGAGAGATCAAATATGATTGAACATATTCCAATACAAATAGGATTTACTCTATGAGAGATCATATATGACTGAACATATTCCAATACAAATAGGATTTACTCTATGAGAGATCATATATGACTGAACATATTCCAATACAATAGGATGTACTCTATGAGAGATCAACTATGACTGAACATATTCCAATACAAATAGGATGTACTTTATGAGAGATCAACTATGACTGAACATATTCCAATACAAATAGAATGTACTCTATGAAAGATCAACTATGACTGAACATATTCCAATACTAGTAGGATGTACTCCATGATCTCGATGATACATGCCTCATCTAGTTTTTGTAACTTTTTTTCTTTAGGATTTGAAACCGACCCAAAGGCGTTTATTGTGATGGTTTTATCTCTGAGCTATCTTATATTTGGTATGATTCTAATCTCCATGTGCTTGAATCTTATGCAAGAGCAGATCATTGAGAAGGTAAAGAAACCTCATCCTAAAATGGAATCATTTTAATGTAACGGTTTCTAGGCTCAATCTTCGCCATTTTCTCTTCTTAAATTTGCAAACAATAACATACAAAAACATCGTTGATTTGTCTTTAAAAAATGTTCTCTTGATCGGTTTAGCCATTTTTACTTTTGTTTGGTACAAACGGACACACAATCAGACAAGCAATGTATATATAAAGAAGTAAAGGAAATTTCAGACCAATGAATTTAAAACTGGAACCTAATTTCAAGATTAGCTCAAAATGATTTATTTGTGCGAGTTTTGATTTTGTTTTGGATTTGCATGTATATTTTTCTCTTTTATTATTTTCTTTTTTTTTTAGTTTCAATGGCTCGCAAGTTCTCTGGGAGGAAAAGAATCTGATGAGGAGGTGGTGAAACTCAGTAAAGAGGGAATGGTTTCAGAAACTCCGCATGATAAAAATGGCAACGATCATGATTTTGGATCGAAGAAGAAAGACCCCGCGGCTGCAGTTGTAATCATCAATGAAACAGATCCAGATGATGATGGTATCGAAGAGATAAAGGATGAGGATGAGGAATCTAAACCTGAAGAAGAGGAAGAAAACGAGAATACTCCAAAAGATGAAGATGAAGAAGAGAAAGAAGATGATGACGAGAAAAAGGAAGAAAACAAAGGAAATGATAACGAAGGATTTGAATCCGATGAATAAATGACAAAAATGAGTTTGATTTTCAAAATAACTCGAATTCTCAAAGATTCTGTGATGAACAAAAATGTTGTGTGTTTAAAATAATTATCCGCGCTTTAATATTTAGCTTAAAGTTGATTAATCTGCGTATAACAGTATTCTATATGTATAGTTCAACCTGGAATAAATAGAAGATAAAAAGTTTTTACAGTTTTTTTAAAAAGTTTATTTTGTTCTACAGGAGCTGGTTACTTACCTCTAATCCCAATTTTTCTTATATTTTTATCTTTGCAACCTGATGACGTAGACCTTTGGTATCTAAAACTTTGATTTCTGCTAGATTATATATAGCCAGAGTTTGAAATATCGGGTTGCAAGGATATATTATTTGTAAAATTAGAGTTTTTTTTTGACTAAATCCTTTCCATTATTTCGACAACGCTTTATGGACACATGATTTTTTTATCATAAATCTGTCAGCAAAAATGTTGAAAATATTGTCCTGTATTTATGATAAAAAGTATTTGAATTCCTAGAAATTAGAAAAGAAAGTTCTAGAAAGAGGATCAAAGCTAAGCAAGATGTCAGCAAATCCCTAAAGTGCGGAAAAAGAAAATTCTCAAATATTTCTGAAAACATTTTAATAATTCATGAAAATACTGGAAATACATCCGATTCAACAGATTTGGAATTGAGAAGACATGATTTGAAATTTTTACGAATTTTTACGATTTCATTTGAGAGAAAAATTTGGCAATACATTACAGAACAGAATCGTTCAATTAAGATTCACAGAGGCCTAATACTATTGTTTTTTTTTAATAAATGCATAATAATAGGGTAAAGAAAAATAATAATCAATGAAATACAAAAAAATATATTTAACATATAAGAAATTTTCTGAATAAAATACAAATTTAAGTTTATACCAGGCTTAAAATATGGTAATATGGCTGATGTGAATATAATTATGCATCTCCTCCCCTCATCTTAAATCCCAACCCCCCTTTCTATAGGATTTACTCTATGAGAGATCATATATGACTGAACATATTCCAATACAAATAGGATGTAATATATATATATATATATGTTAGACGATAATTAATCATTTGTTTGCGCATTAAATTCTAATATTAAAACATCTAGATGTTGTCGAGCTCGCAGGCGAGATAGTGAGTTGCCTCCTGACGTGGATAGGAAGGGGCACGGCATCAACAACGACGAGGTGGGGAAGGAGAGGTATATGCCGACAGACCTGGTCATGGTTCCAATCATGATCAACCTCATGGTCATCTTCATTTTCATCTTCTTGGGGGCTCTCATGTTCTCATTTACGTCAGGTTGGTTCTTACTCTTCAAAATCAAAGAAAATCATTTAAATCGTGTTTTCAATGGAACAAAATAATGAGAATAAAAAATAACAAAACATCTTTATGCATACATGATTCGCAATAGCACCCTTATATCTTATCTGTGGAATTGATGTCGTCGTTATTTCAGTTTTCCTCATAATTGTGTCTAAAGAACAAATGCGCGTAGTTATTTTTAGAGAGAACCGACTCTTGAAAATTATAAATATTTAGAGAGAACTGACTCTTGAAAATAATAAATATTTAGAGAGAACCGACTCTTGATAATAATAAATATTTAGAGAGAACCGACTATTGAAAATAATAAATATTTAGAGAGAACTGACTATTGAAAATAATAAATATTTAGAGAGAACTCCCCCAAGTTACCAAGAAAAGTCTGTTTATTCTGCTGAAAGCATTCTGCCCAGGGAACCTTTTCCCTTCTTAAGAAACCATTTTGAATATTACTCTATGATTAGAAAATACCAGAAGTCAAGACGACCTCCCATGTTTATACGATTCAGTTTAGGAGAGGACTTTTTAGCAAAATAAAGGTGCTAATAGCACGCAACGATGTACTGGTATTTTGTCTGCCGTACTTTATCACGAGGTAAAAATTTCTTCTGCAATATAATTTTAGACTTCATTATTTCAATAAAAGATGGAAAGGCTACTTGTTTGCAGCTACAGGGTGTCCCACGAAACATGACAGTAGCAAGAAGAATTTAATGTCGTCTTTGATTTTAGAAATAATTTGCGGCATTTATTCGTAAATTTAATTTCAAATGTGAAATTCTAATGTTACTAATTACAAAATACCTCTGAATTCGACAATTTTGGTTTTATTTAATGAAATTGATATCTGAAGGAAATTCTTAATAGCTCAGGTAATATTGAAAGAACAAAAACAGTTGTCCCACTTCGCGGAAATGACAGGACTAGGAGAAATTGTTGATTATATATTGTTTCAAAAGTCAGAAATGTGTCAGAAAAAATTTAAAAGTTCAAAGCGCGACTTTTAAGTCGTCTTGCTACTGTCATGTTTCGTGGGCTCCCTATACTTCCATATATGTTAAAATATTCACATCAAATACGTTTAAAAGTACTGCCAATAATGTCGTTACGTCAAATATTATATTTTTGTTGAATTTATTACGAAAAAAGTTGATAAGAAGAAGAAAGAAGTAAACGAAAACTACAGTGAAAACCAGAAAATTCTGAAATAGGAAGACGACATTATAGCAATAATTAAGTGTTTTTGATGTTGTTACAAAGCAAATAGTTTTACTCATATTGGACTATTCAAAGTCATAAATTGAGTCTAAAAGTCGTCTTCCTATTCCAGAGTTTTCTGGTTATCACTGTATACAGTAGCCACTGAATAGTAGTCCCATAAAAATAAAAATTGGAAGGCATAGCATAGATGGTCCAAAATTGTACACTGTTCACAGACCCATTTACCTTATTAAGTTAGTTTTTAACATTAAAGCTATAAATATAAAACCATTTGCTTTATAAAACACCAAAGACACGAATGCTTGAATCTCGTCTTCCATCCCACAGTTGTGTGTGTATGTCTGTACTAAAATTGAGAAAATTTATTCTAACGGACGCAGAACGAAGTTTAAAAATCCATCAATTATGTCAAACAAAAATTTGGGATAAAATGGGATTCCATGCATATAATATTTACAAATAAATATACTTTTAGATGAAACTTATTATCTACAAGCATAACCAGAAAGACACGGAATTAATTGACAGTTTACATATTTTTAGACGCACAATAAAGGCAGACCACATTTTGGAATTGGCAGGACTAGGGCTAAATCATTATCATCGTTGCATAAATCAAATTTGTTAAAATTAGATTTTGAAGTTGTCTGATTAATTAACATTAAATTCCGTCCGAGTATTTAACTGTATATATATTTATATATTGATTGTAAATATATGTCAGCTGGAATTGATGGATTAAAAACACTAAACCTCGATGATATTTTTTTAAGAATACAGACATTATCTTGACTCTACACATGTTAAGTATGTCCGAATTATGGGCTTTTTCACTTAAACTGTACAAAAATTATCTTTTAGAAATTTGCACTTAGCATATTAAAGAACTAAAAGTAGGAGGTTAATCTACTTATTTCATGTTCTCCAAACAGAACACAATAAACGTATACAACTGTTTACTGAAAATTACAGGGAATGAATCGGAAAAAAATAATTATTAGCAATTATAAATAGTTTAGGCAAAAACAATAATATTTATTAATTTAATTCTTCTGAAAGAGACTGTGCACAGATGAAAATTCACAACGGTACCCTTGAAACCTGTATTTGATTATTAATGTGAAATATATCTAATTCATACTTGACCAGACAAAGTTTTCAAGGGTATCATTGTGAATCAGGCATTGCCGTGTTTGTATAGATGTATACCTGAAATTACGATTTGCCATCTCTTTACAGGAGGATCGCAAAAGTAAAAGAAAAACTGCAAACGATTCATAAATGAACGTTTATAGAGAAGATATTGAATAAATCGTGTATTTTGAAGCCGGTTCCTATTCTTTGCTTTCTTGCCCTAATGGCCTAACTTTATAAGAATTTTAAAATCTAGAACATTATCCCCCACTTCTCTACCCGCCCCCCCCCCCCTCCCGGTCCAGGCTAATGATTGATTGATCATTTTACTTTATATATTTATCATTATATCACTTCATCATATTTTCAAACTTTTAGAAATTGGTTTCACCAAACTTTGCTCCGAGCTTTATATAAACTTTCATTTTAGTTCTTATCTTTCATCATGGGTTGTTTGATAAACAATGGAAGCGCTTTTAATCATAATAAAACATATTGAAATCTTTGATAAACGGGATTGTTTATGTCTAAAAGGGACAGTATACGAAATTTAAAGTGACTCGTTATTTAAGGAGTGACAAGGCAGTTTTTTTACAGTTTAACCCGGAACCTGGGAGAATTTATAAAATGTCGTCTTGACAATTTTTCAATGAGCTTTATACTACGGTGGTAGGCAATGATATGAATATAATGAAGACGACTTTTTCTTTAATTTTTGATTTATATCAAGCTTTAAAACAGCCTGAATACACGTACACAAAGACACAAGAAAAAAAGCTTTTCTTTTATTACTTTTTAACTTGTAAACAAAGCTTGTTAACAATTAAATTAATAAAGTCGTCTTCATTATATTGATAACATTGCCTACCAGCATAATATACCAAATCTTTGAAAATCTGTAAAATTGTGAGCATAAATAAATATGCAGTTTTAAAGAGCTCAACATAATAATTCAATTTAAAAAATATATATCTGCAGCATTCCTTCATCCGTAGGTTTAGTTAATTAATCTGTAGAATTTACCATTTTCCTTTAATATCTCTGTACCCTAAATCCATATGAGTAAATTTTATAGAGTAACCATAATTTTAAAAAAAATCAATTCATTTATAGCCGATCAAAGAAAGATATTTCTTTCATTCATAATGAAACCAATCTTTTTACTTTTTTGGCATCCTATAAAAAGCTGTAAAACAAGATCTGTTAAAAAAATGTTGAAATTAATGGTACATGGACAAAGGAAGAAAATGAAACATTCCATGATACATTCTGATGAAAAATCTGCAATAACGAGCCGGTCAAAGCACTATTTTCTTAATATCCCAGGTGCCAGCAGGATCACAAAAGTAAGCTCAACTACAGATCATCCAGTTTATCAAAAATGTTGACGAGAATTCTTCATATATTTTTTCTAAATCATTTGACGAATGCTAACAGACCAACTCAAATCATTTTATATTACTTCTTGATAAGCAAAATTTGATTTTAGTAAAAATCAGTTTTAATCATACTGCCATATTTTGTGGTTTATTGGAAGCATTTTTTTCAAGAAGTTTCGGGATCTTTAAAACACTCTTAACAAAAAGTTAAATATGTTTTAGTCTTGCATTTCTACGGAACCCTCTTTTAAGATTTTTAAATGTTTTAGTAATAATAGATAATGCAGTTGTACCCTTAGAGCAACGTTTAAAAAAAAATTTTCTTTTTCTTTAATTAGCATTTTCTTTTTCTGTTTTTGTTCCCCTGGACAGTTTTTTTTCTTATTCTTGTTCGCTTCTAAAAATAATTTGTGTTAAGTTTTTAAAGGTTTTGATGAGAACTTGAGCACATAGACTAAATTATTCTATTCATAAGATCCCTTTAGCTTGCAGCAGGGTATTATGAAGTATAGCATTATAAAGGGCTCGTGAGGGCACAATTAACATCAGAATTTATCGAGGAATGTTTTAATTTCTTCCCTGTTACAAGTACTAACTTCATTGCTGATTAAAAGATTAATTTTGTTCAATTACCAATGGTTTAATGACCTGAAACTAAAAAGACAGGTTTACTCGTGTCCACCCTTTCGTAGTTAAATATATAAACTTAGGACCATTTTCTAAATACCCATCTGGAAATTGAATTCTTAAAGGGACTGTAAAGGAAAAATGAAAGGGGTTATAGGCTAAAAGCTAATCACTTTAGCTCTTGATCGTGACCAGAACTATCACCAATGGCAGAGCAGTATCACGTGACCACTTTACTGCACTGTCATTGGTGGAATTTCTGGTCAAGTAATACGGACGTGCAAATAATATTATGAATTAAATCTATTAAAAATAGAAATAACAAATATAAAATGAGAATTGGAGTAAACCTAAGTAATAATTAGCTTTCTCTGGGATATCATCGTTTTCAGATTGGTTGCATATTTGCTGAAATTGATCTATTTAAACCCACTACTTTTATACAAAATTGTAAATATATTAACTTTTCGTATAAATTAGACACAGTTGTATATCAATTTCTCGAGACAGGGACATCAGATATAACTTTTATGGGTCGCGATCAAGAGCTAAAGGGATTAGCTTTCAGCCTATACCCCCTTTCATTTTTCCTTTACAGTCCCTTTAAAATGTTCAACTATCAGATTAAGTTTCCAATATATCCATTAATTGGAAGAAATGGAGTTGGAAAAATGTATTAATTCTGTTCGCTT